GTCTTCGTGGCGGTTCGAGTTCTGGGAGTGCACGGACGAGGAGGGCGTGTATGCTCTGTTGGAGATGGATTCGCGGTTTGCGGACCTTCAAGCGGTGTCGGAGAACTTCCTCTATCGACGTTTTTGCTTCCGTTTTCTGCCCCGCTCCAATACGCTTCGGGCGCAGCATCGGCGGCGTTCGGAGGACAAGGGGCACTCTACCCGTCCCAACGTTCTGAACCGGCATGCGGGCCGCCAACCGTCTCCGCGACGCCCCCGGCTCGGTCGCGGGGCCCCCGAACTGGGCCGTTGCGTCGGGCGCTCTCGCTCCCCCTCCTCCTCGGTGTTCGGCCTCTCCGGTCCGTCGGCCAGCGCCCTCTCCTCGCGCGCGATCTCCCGCGCCCCCTCGTTCCGCACCGGTCACCCCGGTCCGTCCCCCACCCACCGCGCGCGGGCCGTCCCGAAGCGGGGACCAGTCCCGGCCCTGCGGGCCCCTTGGCGATGGGAGATATGCCTTTCCGCCCGGAGGGTTACCCGGACGTGATGCTGTGGTTCGGCGAGCCGTCGCCGGTTCGGGCCACCGCCGAGGCGCACCGGTTGTTGGACGACCCGGATGTGGCCCAATCGTGCCGGTTTTCCGCCGTAGGGGTGACGCTGCTGCACCAGTTACTGACCGGGCCCCAGGATAACCCTCTGTCTACCGGCGTCCTGCGTTCACTCCGGTCCGAGACTCGCATGTTGATGCAGCCGGCTGATTTCGAGCTGATGGATTACCTGGGGCACCGGTTCTCTGCGGCCCAAATGGTGGAGCTGTACACTCGAGTGCGAGACATCTTCAGGGCCGTCGACGACTCGGGGTCGACCCGGCTGGATTTGTGGGAGCAAAGGGCCGCCGCGGACCGTCGCCAGGCCGGTCGCTCGAGCCCCGTTCCTGGGGGTACTCAGCCTGGGTCGGGGTCGCGACGTCCACCTCCGTCGGGTCCTTCGGCGGGTCGGAAGGGAAAAGGCCGGGCGTAGTCGGAGGGGGTTTTTTGTATTTTATTCTTTGTACTTTTTTTTCTTGGACTTTTGCAATAAATCGTGTCGCCTTCTCGTGTGTTCTGTTGTGCGGGCGTAAGGGGATTGCTTAGATTCTGTCAGACTGCGGGTCGGGCCGTGCAAGGACTTCTCCTAAGAACGCGCGCCCGGAACAGAACAGACGGATAGTCGGGCCCGCAAGTACGGGCGGGCGGTGTAGATCGAAACCGAAAGGGCCCGTGAACTCGGTCCCTTGTCGTAGTCGGTGGTCGATGGTTTGAATCGGGTCGTGTCGGGCCCGATGAGTCGATAGCGTCTCCTCCTGCACGGAGTAAGGTAGTTCTTTAGACGATCTAAGCGATAGAGTACAAGGTACACTATCGCGCATTATATACGCTGGCCCGCAAAGGGGGTGATCGGACACCCTGGCCTCTCCTCCTCCTCCTCGCTCCCGTTCCTGGCCGCAGAGGGGACGATCGCACATCCCTTGCGGGCCAGGCGCTACTCCTGACCTCCTAGCACTCCTCCCCAGTCCCCTGGTGTCGAAGTTGGGCTCGGCGACGGCTCGACGCATCGTTCTCGGTCACGTGCTTCCCACGTGTGCGTTCCTCCTACTGGGGCGCATGTTCCCCGTCGTCACGTGCTGCGTGTTACGGGCCCGCAATGGCCCGACACCAGCGCCCGGAGCGGACGGGCCGGGTCTTATCCGTGACAATATCCGGAATTCAAATCTTGAACCGTCCTTGTACAAGAGTACCTAGAAAAACTTGGAGTGATATGCACAAACATTTTTTATCACAAAATCAACATCAAATTTTGGTCGCACCTATAGTGCACCCTAATACCCTCTAGTTAGAGGGATAGAGTGGGGTACTCTCTCCCTCTAACTAGAGGGGGTTTGAGCCAGCGGCGGGCACCCCCGCTAAATACGGCTACCAAGGGGGGTCTTGGTAGCGGGGAAAGAGGCCCGGAGGCTGCCATCACCCTCCCGGCTGCCTCCCCGCCCCCGCCCACTGTGCGCGCTGCCCGCCGCCACCCCCCAGGGCCTCGGCGTCGTCGTCCACGATCGTGACTTATGTCACCGATCGCTGATTGACGTCGCCGATCGCCGCCCGCTATCGTTGGCCGCGGAGCTTCTTGCCCGCCGGTGTCAGGCACCCCGCCGCCGCTGTCAAATAGTCCGCCGACGTCGTCCCTCGACGTTGCCCTCGATGGTGAGCTCAATTCTTCATCATTTTCTATCAAATAAATTAATTTCCAATCAAACTTGATGATTGCAACACAATGGCGGTGTCATCACTACCATCCACTGATCCCGCCCTCCCCCCGACGCCCGCCTGATATGCCCGACTCGCCCCCTGATGCCCCCTACCCCAAAAAATGAAAAAGTTGCGGAATGTCACAAAAACTGTCCCAGTACAAACCGCTAATCAATATCTTCATTCGTTTGAGAGATATTAATAAAACTCATTAACTCAATATTGTTATTAACTCAATCATTAATGTTGTTAACTCAATTGTCTGAATTTCACCATATCTCTCTCAATTATTCATTGATCTCTTTGATCTCAGCTTTCCTTAATTCTTCTAAGGCTCTCAAATGACTCCATCTAGTCTGAGAAGTAGTGATCTGAAGATAGGCTCATGATCAAGCATTAGGTATCATTGTGTGATACCTGACTATGTCAGTCAGTACTTCATATTTCCAAATGAGCTGAATATATATGGTGCTGAGCCATGCGTGTAGTACCCTAATGACCTCCATATCTTTACTACAGCTCTATATTCTATATGAAATTGTTCATAGCAAATTTTGCTATATAGGCCTTGAAGCATTCAAACTTTGCCAGATTCTATAGGGGAATGGGTTAGAAGTATCAGAGAACTTCAAGGAACAGTTTTCTATCTAAAAATAGCTTATCATGTTAGGTGAAATTCCAGAAATTCCTATGTCACTCCTTCAGGTGTCACAGGTGGCATACCCATATTCCTCAGGGATCTGGTCACAGATAAGCTATTGGAAGGCATTGGGCTGTAGAGGGCCTTGCATTAATCATTCAGCATAGCTACATTAGTCTTTAACACCAGTCCTGGGGAAGGTTAGGCTGTACTCTTCAGAAGTGACTGATGTCACATAATGCTATATGGAAGATTCCACTCCTAGGGGGTTTGTTCTATGGTTTAGATGTGGTAGAGAAGTATATTTAGGTATCTGGAATGAGTCTTACCTCTATATATGTGTTGTAATCAAGTGTGTCAGTGGTTACACCAAAAGGTAGGGTTGGGATACTAGCAGTGAAAGGGACTGTCCGCACCAAAACACTTGCTCAAAATAAATTTCAAGTATGATCTAAGAAATTGGTATAGGCTATCAGGGGACTTCAAAGTAACCTTAACAGAGCTTCAACTGCTGCCATAGCTATACCAGATGTTGTGCAATGTTGTAATCAGTGTTATCTATACTCAATCTAGTACATCTATAGTTCTGGTGCTTAGAGGTGTAGAGACAGATCCTCAAGGGCAGTTGTTATGGATCTTCACACCTTCCAGAAAACCCTCTAACCTTCCCTATATCTGCCCTACAGCTTATGATAGGATGTACCCTAGAGCCCCTGTAATTCAGTGTTGTCTGCTGAGGCTGTGAGGCTAGAAATCCATAGAATCATTGATATCCACATGCCCTACAAGGATAAAGTTAGATCAGGATTATCCATCTAGTAATCATAAAGATATCAGTCATTTGTTCCATGTCTTGGGTAAAACATACAATTTATCCTACATACAATGGGTATACAATGACTCCTTAGCTTGATACTGTAGATTATATTCCCCTAGGATGTTACCTTCAAGGTGAGCCCCATATTACCCATTTCCACTAAGTATATTTGAAGATACACTCTAAGTTGAGCTGGATCATTTTCCAATGATGGGGTCATATAGACCTAATTGGACCATTTTACAGATGGAAATCTCATGAAGAAAGGCTGACTAGTGATAGTTTCAAGCCCACCAATGTTTAGATTCAAGCCCTAGCCATTGTGCAGTTGAATTGAGTTAACAACATTAATGATTGAGTTAATGACAATATTGAGTTAATGAGTTTTATTAATATCTCTTAAACGAATGAAGATATTGATTAGCGGTTTGTACTGGGATCATTTTCCCAACATTCCGCAACTTTTTCATTTTGGGGGGTGGAGGGGTCGGGGGACATGTCGGGCGCGTCGGGCAGGCGTCGGGGGAGGGCGGGATCAGTAGATGGCATTGATTACCCTGCCACTGTGTTGCGATCAGTAACTTTCATCAGAAATCAATTTCTTTGATGTGAATTGATGAAGAATTGAGCTTACCAGCGAGTTCAACGTCGAGGACGACGTTGATGGACTGTTTGACAGTGGCGGTGGGATGTCTGGCAGTGGTCGGGAAGCAGATCCGAGGGCCGACGACAGCGGGCGGCGATCGGCGACGTCAATCAGCAATCGGTGACATAAGTCACGATCGTGACGACGACGCCGAGGCCATCGGGCGGCGGCGGGCACTGGGCGCACTGGGCGGCGGGGAGGCAGCCGGGAGGGTGATGGCAGCCTCTGGGGCTGTCTCCCCGCTACCAAGACTGGCCTTGGTAGCCGTATTTAGCGGGGGTGCCCGCTACTGGCTCAACCCCCTCTAGTTAGAGGGAGAGAGTACCCCCCTCTATCCCTCTAACTAGAGGGTCTTAGGGTGCACCATAGGTGTTTGGTCGTGAAAGGTTCTATTAGACCATCCATGGAGACGGAATGGATACTTGAAATCATGGTTCCAATATCCCGACTTTGCACTCGGTGGCGATGTCACTAAAAGGCACTCAATCACAACTTGTAAGGATAGTCCCGAAATGGTTAATGCTTGTATGAGTTATAGCGAAGGGGTACTAGCTAAGCGATATAAGTATCAGTATCTATGTCCGTGGTATCTATACACATTTATTCTTCGAGTCCGTCTTTCAGTCCGTACTCTTAGTAGATCTACAGGCCGAGGGCCGCAAGCGTGAGGCCGAGCGCGAGGTTGCGCAGGAGCGCGGCGACGTTGGTGAGGCTGGCAGCATTGTCAGTGGGGGCTATTAATGAAACGGAAGGGAGACGCACAGATTGGCGACGAGGTTGAGCACGCCGGCGAGGAGCGTCTCGAGGCCGCGGAGGACCTGGGCAAGCGAGGTGTCGATCCCGCCGAGGAGGACGCCGAGCGTGGGGACCGTGGCGGCAGTGCCGAGCAGCCCGTCGAGCGTGTTGGCCACGTCCTGCAATGTCGTTCAGTTTCAGGTTCACGACTGGAGGAAATAAAACGCACAGTGAGGAGCGCAGCCACGGTTTTCGCGATGTCGTCATCAGACTGGCGCTTGCGCGACGCGGGGAGCGCCGCGAGGGCCGCCGTGGCGGTGTCGAATGCGCCGGTGAGGTCGTTCACGAGCGGCGTGACCGTCGCGTCGGTGGCGGTGCCACTGGACACGAGCGAGTCTGGCGAACGTGATCAGCCGTAAAAATTGCCATGAAAAGTCGCATACCGATTTGGGGGAGGATGGTCCCGACGGTGGTCGTCAGGGTGTCGAGTACGCCGGCGATGTCGGCGTTGGCGCGTTTGTCGACAGCTGCGACGGGCGCGGGGGCAGCAACGGGCGAGGCGGCGACGAGGCTCGTGGAGGTAAGGAGGAAGAGAGAAGCGAAGCGAAGGGCGAACATCGTAGTGGGTAGTGAGTACTAGGGTAGGAGTGGGTAGAGTTGAGGTGGGCTGTTGATTGAGGCTCTCCAGAAAACATACACCGTCTTTTATACGCCTCGTCGCGCACACAGAGCACCACCCGCACCACAGCGGCACGTGCGGGCGCGTCATGCCCCGCGTCACTTATTCTTGCAAGTAACGCAACGCCATGCGTGTTGTTTTCGTTCTGCAGCCGTTGCGTGGGAGAGGCCGCTCGAGCCATGGCCAGGTTCCCTTCAGACGGCCGCCGGCGTTTAAGCTGGGTGGGGTGGGACCTTTGTGGAGTGGTGGAATTCGAATGCAGATCGTGTAGTCCCCGGCATCACGCACAGGCCTCCAAGAACATCGCGAAGACGAACGAGGGTCTCTCGCAAGAGCTCCTGCTGATCCACAAGGACTTGGCCGGGTGAGTAGGGTTGCGACCCGCTCGGAGGCTCAGCAGCAGCGAGGGCCCAACATCGCGCGCAGACGCTCCACAGCATAGAAACCCCGAGATCGCTACCACCGCATTCCAGGACCCTATACTTATTGACTATAAGTAAGTTGGCCCCAAATAAACGCGGATATACGGAGATTATACCCTTGAAACACGGGCCACGCTGGGCGGCGTCAGCAGAAGCCACCCACGGCCTGCGAAGCAGCGCGAGAAGCACAGCGGGAGCAGTTGACGGTGCGGTGGGGCTCGTAGGCGTCGACATTGAAAAAAAAAATTAGATCAAGTGGGAAAGCATCAGACTATGTCCCAGAATGTGGTTTGAACCATCGCCAGCGGGCAGACGAGGGCAACGGCGGGCCACGGTGCGCGTCCAGGCCGCCTGGGCCCTGCCCACAGAACCGTAATGGGGGCGCGGGCGCACGGGCACGGCGTTGGGAGCGAGTGGAGTCGAGGAGAACTTCTTTTTGCGTAATCTCCGACGCAAGACGCCGTGAGCCAGCAGCCTAATAGGATGCGCGTCGGGAATCTCCACCGCGGATGACGCCGCATGACGCGCGCTTGGAGCGCTGGAGCGGCGTCATGCATCATGGGAAGAAGAAGGAGAGGTAAGCATGACTCAGCGGCGAGCGCGAGCCGGTCATGTGATCTGATGGCGTTATGTCAGCGCAAGCGCCTTCGGCTCTGAAATTGAAGTCTCAATTACGATGGGCAGTAAACTCATTGTATGAGTTTCCTCGTCTAACTCTACATGAACAGACTGTTATCAACGAGCCCAAACCCGTCCCAGCGGGGTGCCGTCTCCCCGACCCTCTCTCGGCCGAACGGGAGCGGATCAGCGCGGACAATGAACTCCGTTGCGTTGAGCCAGATCCGGTGTACGCCGGGACAGAGCGCGGGGTCCATCTCGAGCACGTCCATCGCGGCATGCACCATCAGCGGGTGGCACGCGACGAGCCTTAGCACGCGCAGGCGCGGGAAGCTCGCGAAGAACACGCGCACGTCCGTGCCGTGGAAGTGCATCCCCGTGACCGCGAGTGTGTGCAGCCGCCGGAAGCGCGGGCCGGCCTCCGCGAGCGCGACCCAGGCGAGGAAGTCGACCCAGGCACGTGAGGTGAGCTGCCAGCGGTCGATTGCGAGCGTGTGTAAGGCGGCAAAGGGGAGCGCGTCGAAGAAGTTGAGGCAGGGCAGCTCACCGAGGGTGCTGTCAGGCGGCGCGCGGAGGCCAGCGAGATTGAGGTGCTTCACGGTGCTGGGTTGAAGTGGGACCCCGTGTCCCAACAACGCCGGCACGTGCATGTTCTCGAGCGACAGCAGGATCGGCCCAACAAAGTACCACGGCGCAAGCGCCGAGCCGTCGCGCGTGGTGATGGGCGGGGTGTCGCCGACCACGCGGAGGAAGAAGCTGTTGCGCAGGGGCACGTCGCCGAGCGTGACGCCGTTGAGCAGGATGGTGCACAGTAAGCCATGGTTGCGCGGGATCTGGAAGTACACCGGCGTGACTCGGCCCCGGCGGGCACGTGGCGAGGGGAGCGGCATGACCTGGAGGTTCAGGCTCCGGAGCGCCTGGAACTTCTCCAGGCGCATGTGTGACGCCACACAGTCCATGATGTCGCTCGACGCGTAGATTGAGAGGTGCCACACCCGCGGCAAATGCACTCGGAGAAACGCAACGAGCTTCCGGAGCGCGTCGATGTTCTCCAACAAAAAGTCCCAGAGCGCCCATGAGGAGAAGTCGAGCACGAGGTCGATAGGCACCCGCCGGGAGCGCGCAAGAATCGTGCGAATTATGTCGAAGTGGGCGATGTCACGGGGCACCAGCCGCAGCGACGTCCACGGCCCAACATAGGCAAAGGCAGCCGCGCGCCACTGTCTGCACACCTGCGACAGCCACAGGATGTCCCCGACCGGTTGGTAGTTCTCGAACCCTGGCCCGTGTTTCAGCGGCGCAGAGGAGAAGATTTCCGCCAGAATTTCGACAGGGAAGGTTTGAATTGCGGGCTGCGCAGGAGTGAGCGGGGAGTCCGTGGTGGCCATGAGTTGAAGCATTTGGACGATCCCCGGTCGAAAGGCATTCACTATATACGACTTCAAAGACCCGCACCGCGTCCTGACTCCTTTGCCACCCGCTCACTACAAAGCACAGCTCCCCTAGGTCTTTTGTCCTTGCGCTTTGACTGTGTCATTGATTACGCTCCCGAGATGACTCACCTCAAGGGTGGGTTCCAGAACATTCTCGGGCCATGGTGAAGAAGAAAGTTGCGGGTTGATGAAAGGGCTGACGGAATGATATCAATCACACTGTGACTATATCACACCATATCACACCGGTCTGATTTAACTCTCCGGAGACGTCATGATCTACCTCGACGACATCCTGATCGCCCATTCTGACCTCCGGAAACACCGGCAGATTGTCCAGGAGGTCTTACGGCAACTCCGAGAGCACAAGTTGTACCTTCGAGCAGAGAAGTGCAACTTTGAAAAATCATCAATCAAGTACCTCGGAGTCATCATCTCCCACAACCACGTTGAAATGGACCCCGTCAAGGTCGCAGGCGTCTCTGCCTGGCCGACTCCGGAAAACAAGAAGGATGTTCAGCAGTTCCTCGGGTTCCCTAATTTCTACCGCAGGTTCATTCGGGACTTCTTGACCCTTGCGTGCCCACTTTTCGTGCTCACCAAGAAGGACCAGCAATGGACTTGGGGCGATGCGGAGGCCTCCACGTTCCAAGCAATCAAGGACGCAGTCACCTCGGAACCGGTCCTGGCGATTCCGGACGCGATTCCGGACGATGCACGGCATTTCCGACTCGAGGCGGACAGCTCTGATTATGCGACAGGGGCGGTTCTTTCACAATCCGCCCCGGACGGGAAGTGGCACCCTGTAGCATTCTATTCCAAAAGCTTAAATGATGTCCAGCGCAACTACGAAATCCACGACAAGGAGATGCTCACGATCATCCGCGCACTCGAGGAGTATAGACACTTCCTTGAGGGCGCTGCGCACCCTGACCATAAGAATTTGGAGTACTTCAGGAAGACATAGCACCTCAACCGGAGACAGGCCCGGTGGTCCCTGTACCTCTCCCGGTTTGATTTCACGCTGCACCACAAGCCTGGCCGTGACATGGGTCGACCTGACACCCTCTCCCGGAGACCCGACCATGGAGTTGATTCCGACAACTCCGATGTCGTCCTTCTGCGGCCTGAACTCTTCCACGTCCACGCACTCGAGAGCGTTTCCGTTTCCGGTCCCGGCTCTGAACTCCTCCGTGATATCCGCGATGCCCTCTCCGGTGAGCCTGACCTGGAGGAGCCCGTTGCACTAGCGGCCCGGCAACTCCTTAAGGTCCAAGGTCAAGCTCGAGGCCCCCGCTCCTCACGTTCTGACGAGTGGGCCATCTCCCGTGGTCTTCTCCATTTCTGAGGGAAGATCGTCATACCAAAGAACAAGGACCTTTGGAGATGCATCATCGAGCTCTGCCATGACACTCAAGTCGCCGGGCACGCAGGTCGCTTCAAGACCTTGGAGTTGGTCTCCCGGAATTACTGGTGGCCCCAAACGTCTTGCCATATCGGCCGGTATGTTGCAACCTGTGACTTGTGCTGTCGCACCAAGGCACTCCGGAGACTGCCCCACGGAGAGCTGCACCCCACGGAAACGCCCCCGGAACGCTGGCATACTGTTTCCATTGACTTCATCGTAGAGCTCCCCAAAGCCCATGGGTACAACCCGATCATGGTCGTCGTTGACACCCTCGGAAAGTGCGCCCACTTCTCGGAGTGTCATACGACGGTCGATGCCGTAGGGGCAGCCCGCCTCTACTACCGGAACGTCTGGTGGCACCATGGGACTCCGGAGAAGTACATCTCCGACCGCGGCTCACAGTTCATCGCGGACTTCACCCGAGAACTTTGGTGTCTAATTGGCGTCAAGCCTGCCACGTCCACTGCGTACCACCCACAGACAGACAGTCAGACAGAGCGTGTGAGTCTGCTGCGCGTCAACCAGGAGTTGGAGCAGTACTTGCGGATCTTCACCAACTATCAGCAGGATGACTGGGATGAGCTGATTCCGGCCGCGGAGTTCGCCTACAACAACCATGTTCACTCCTCCACACAGCAGGTCCCCTTCATGATGGACACGGGACGGCTCCCACGCATGGGCTTTGGACCCAGAGTCCGTTCCGCCATGGAGTCGGTGAACGACCGGAGACGCACTCTGTCTCCGGAGTTGAAGGTTGGTGACCGTGTTTGGCTAAATGCCTCGGACATCAGGACAACTCGCCCCTCGGAAAAGTTCTCCCACCGCCGCCTCGGACCGTTCAAGATAGTCGCGGAGATCAGCAAAGGTGCCTACAAGCTCGACCTCCCTCCGCGCTACTCGAAGCTCCACCCGGTCTTCCCCGTCGTCAAGCTCAAGCTCACCCAGGACAACCCCTTCGATGGATGCCCCGGCTACAACCAGCCCCCTCCGGACCTCGAGCACGGAGTCCCGGAGTGGGAAATCTTGGACGCAAGGGTGAGGTATAAACGGCTAAACTA